AACAACTGTGCTCATGTTTGCAGCAGATAAAGGCATCATAGACCTAACGATCCCTGATGGAGAGCTCTTACCCAATGAGAGGTGGATACATACCGCTCTTAAGCTGATGAGAGGGAAAAGTCCTAAGAAAGACACTGGGCTGTGTGTATCTAAGGTGGTCACATGCTAGGCAGCTCACTAGGTTGGCCCCTATCCTGTCTAAGTATCACTTCACCTCTCTACAGTGTGCTGTGGGACCATCTCCTACACTAAACTGCCTGTGACCAACTTTCTCATGGACTCCTACTGGCAAAAGTGAAACTAAAGATCACAGGACATAGGGAACCTGCTTTTGAGGCCTGATCGTCAGCAGATTTCATAACTGACTATTTCAAGAGGTGGGTGAGTTGGAGGCCTAGCTGGTGAGCCTGTATCCTCCTCCCATGCAACATCTGGGACTGAGACTCACCTCTGTGATGACGGGACACAATCACAGACGGGGCACCAAACATCACATCGCCCATTAAGTCCTGGAAAAGGTCTTTCCTTCTGATGGGGTTGTCTACCCCTGATATATACTTCTCAATGACAGCTGGAATCAGACTCTCAGAGATGTTCTAAAAGGACCAGAAACTGATCAGAAAAGCATTTCTGAGGAAGGGAATGAAAAAGACATGGCTCATGAGTCTTGATAGTCAGAAACCTTCTCTTTATCAGAACTGAGACCATTCAGGGACCTACAGATAGTAGGGGCCCATGTGTCAGAAGGGCAAAGCACTCAATGTTAGTAAATACTGTGGTACCCACCTGTCTGCTTTGCCTCCGAAAAATTACCTACAGAAGTCTTGGGTCTCTAAGCCCTAGATAAGTGGGTTTTGCTGAAAATAGCCTCCATCTTTTGCCAGCTTTCTAAAGGAATCTTTTCCTCAACAATATATTCTGGAAATACGGGAATTTTTAAACAACAAGCAACAAATGAGGGGTTTTTTTGCATTATACTAAAGTATGCAGAGTAGAAAACGGGGGCTGAAACACAGATATAAGCACTTTTAGCCTCGGAGTTAGCGTGTGTTTGGATGCAAGCACCCACACTTCTTTGCTTCTCAGCTGAGTCCCACAGTTCACTTACAAGGATCAGGTAAGAGTGCCAAAGAAGGGAAGCGATCCTCTTCTCGTCCAGTTCGTCTTCGGAAAGTGGAAAGCCTATCATCTGTTAAACACAATGGTTAATATTTGTGAATCGTGTGGAATTAACAGGAAGAAACAAAAAGGTTGAATATCCAAACCAATACAGAAGGAAGTTCCTTTACAAGGCCTTGTTAGGTGTGAAATTTCATATTTGAAGAAATAACCTATGAAAAAATTGAGATTATATCTAGAAATATATGCAGTAAGGAGAGTGCACATACCACATATATTGCATATATTAGCTGTTATAGATAGAAATCTATATTATATATAGTTTATATAATACAAACACACACTAATCCTTCGGAGAATGAGTGGTATTTAGGTTAGGACAGTGTTAGAAGTTCAGGGAGGATACAAGCCCTGACCTACAGCTCAAGTGTCTATGGAAGCCAGAGTCGAGTCAACCA